TATCTTGCCTGCGTATTTCCGATACCGACAAAGTGATTTATTTATTTTTACTTTCTCATATTGTTTCAAATAATGTCAAACAATATATTAATTATGTATTAAATTTACAAAATTTTATTCGATTCCTTAATTGTTACTAAGATGCGCTTGATGATTTACGTTATTAATTGTAACCGATGATAATGGTTCGAATCCTAGTTAATTCCAGTCTCGAGTTAGAGTAATATTTTGCGCGCACGTATCCGCGGTCGTCACGCTGCCCTGACCTGGATTCGAACGCGCTCTGACGTCCGACATGTCGCCGCGGTGCGTCGCTACCCGCCACTACACTAATGGACAGTTTCGCGGGAAACCTTCGGGGCACAATCCACCATGATGTCATTTTAAGACGCCAACTGGTCACGGAATAACAAAGAATTTTGTTTTAGATTGACTAGATTGTCGTGACGAGCTTTCTTTATTAGACCAAAATACCAAGTGCAAAACGCAGGATGTGCTTAAAAGAACGAATGGACTCCAAAGCCAACAATTGAAGAATTAGGGGCAGATCGAAATTGAAATATATTTATTTTTCGATATATTTTTCGACACTCATACATTTCAATTAGACGGCTGTAAGCATTTGTGAATTATTCACTTACTCATTTAGAACGTACGTATTTGACTAATTAGATAAGCCGAAAACACTAAACCAAATTAATTATGTTAAAAACAAGAATTCAAACATCCTGAAACTACAATGTTTTCGGAAGAAGGCAATTATCGGTCTGACCTGAAAACCTTGACATAATACCCTACTCCGTGTCCCAGGAAACTAAACGAGGAAAAACTTATATGTATTATCCATTCATTTTATAACTTTTAATGTAACGAACAATGATGAGGAGCGTGTTTAGGACCGGGTCACCTTGACTATAATATTCACCACTGTTTCCTCCCTATCTCCGTAAACCCTAGATCTTATTTCCATTACCATACTATTACCGGTGGTGGGATCTCTTGCGAGTCCGCACGGGTAGGTACCACCGCCCTACCTATTTCTGCCGTGAAGCAGTAATGCGTTTCGGTTTGAAGGGTAGGGTAGCCGTTGTACTATTAAAAAAGTAAAACCTTAAAGCTCATGTCTCAAGGTAGGTGGCGGCATTTACGTTGTAAATATCTATGAGCTCCGGTAACCACTTAACATCAAGTGGCCCGTGAGCTCGTCTATACATGTTGGTACTGCGTGCGACTGGCTAGATCTTATCTATTTCTGCTGGGACGCAGTGTCAAGTGTGTCTTTATTAATTGCTCAAGATTAATTGACTCCCCAGAAACAAAGCTAAATATTAAGCAATACCGGAGTATTAAAGTTTGGTTTCTTTTGTCTTATTTTTGTTCTTATCCGCGTCCCGCGAGATAAAGTCGGCACACAATTTACAATCCAATCCATGTTGTAATTCGATTTGGATAAAAGTAGCAAAAAAATTACGGCGGTCCGGCTTGCTGCCGTCACCCGTCATGGGAATATTAGACCTTCGGGTTATAAGGTAAAATTTGGTGTGAGATTCAATTACCAAAAGCCCTATCCCAAAAAGCCCGCTGAGTTTGTTTCGCCGGTTCTTCTCAGGACTGTGACTTTTTTTTTTTTTTTTTGAGTTCACATTGTTATTTATATTTTGACATTCAACAAGTGTGTTATGCTGATATCTAAGTTGAAATAAATGATTTTGAATATGAATTTTGAATTTGAATTTGAATTCCAAAATGCGGTAAGTAATGCTATGGATGTAACATGAGACCGGAGGAGTATTTTTAATTACACATTTCACAGTTAATTGTACACAGTTTCAAATAAAATAAACCTAATTAAATTGAAACTATGTGGAATCTTAAGAGACATTACGATTATTTGAGCATCAATCAATATCTATTCTCGTATTCTGGAAGAAAACGTATTTTCGGTATCAAAATCAGGTCACGCTAAATATGTGCGCGCCATTTTCCTGTTTTCTTATTAAACTGAGTTTTTCGTGTCTGATTACCGGCGGAGTTGCGCCTTCTTGTTTGTTTGACAGTGGCCAAGTAAAGGATAGTCAGATTTTTTAAACTTCTTTTGTAGTAACATTTTTGTGTTCATATCTTTAAAAAATGATGAAAATTAGTTTGGTTCATGATGTATTTATTAATCAATTGTGGAATTCGACGCCGAAGACCCATTTCTTTAATTTCCCAATGAAATTTTAAAGTAAATAAAAAACTGTTGAACGCATTCTTATTCATTTCTGGAACTATGTGTTCGCACTTGCACAAGGCTTCCTAATAATTCTATTCTAACTTATATTTATTTATAATAAATCTTTGTTTTTATTCTACTTATTAAAAAAAACAAATACATTTTGTTGTTGAAAAGACGAGGAAATTTCAATTTATTTCCAATTAATTATCCGTACTTTACCGGAATAAAAATATCAGAGGGAAAATGTAGGTAGTAACCTTTACGTAATACTTGTAAACGATATCGGTGGGAGGAAAAGTTCTCAAAAACAAGTCGATGTTGCTGGCTACGCTTTTAAATTGATTTTTAATTGTCTATCGTACGCGTAACGCAATTACGCTCTACAGTATTGTCAGGCATCGACAGCTCTACGACATATCACCCATTCCGGCAATGGCTCCCATGAAAGCAGTGGACATGAACTCCAGACATATCAAACTAGAGAATTTATCGTCGCCTAAAGGATAAGCACCGGTCACCGTTCTCATTGAAATCGTTGCAAACGACGAAGAGTTTGACGAGTGAACTAGCCCATGGACACAACCCACTGAGTTTCTCGTCGGATCTTCTCAGTGGATCGCTATTCCGATTCGGTAGCAGATTCTGTGAAGCACTGCTCTTGCTAGGGCTAGTGTTAGCAAATTCACTCAGGTTGAGCCCATGAGCTCACCCGTCCGCGCGTAGCTGAAATAACCCCATAGGCTAATAGGTAGAGAAAAAAGATGCCCGGTGTTTGTCTATGAAGTGATCACACCAGTGTTCAAATCTGAACTGGAAGGACTGACATCGTGCCATAATAATGTCCAGCCTATTTCAACCGAGCGGCAATCAAGGGTCTAGGTTTGAAGACAGCCGTTACACAATCCTATTGAGGCTTCGACCTCATGTCTCAAGGTACGCTGCACTAGCGTTCTAAAGTCTTTCGAAAACCACCGAACACTCATGAATCGCGAAGTCCTTCACCGACACAAGCATTCAGAAAAGTTTTTAACCTTATATAGGTTTTATTCTTTAATATATTATCTATATATTAATACGTGAAGCCAAAATTGTGTACCCCATTTTACAAAAATTGTGCGGACGGAGGAGTATGAAATTTCCCACACTTATAGAGAATGTAGAGAAGGAGTGCAGAATGTTAATATATCTTTATATTATGCATAAATAATACATTAAATCTAACTAACAATGCCTTTCCGTCTGTAACTACAGCATCCAGTTATTATTATTCATTTCTTTACACCCGTGTGCAAGTAGGAGGTAGTGGGACGTATAGAGCGACTGTCCCGCCAACCTTCACGGGAATTGAAGACGAGTGGATGAAGGGTTTAAGTACCATTTTTAAGATTTTTTAGTTTTTACATTGAAGGTGTTATGGGCCTATAAGCCTTATATTAGACCTTAAAACTCCGGATGTAAAAGCTATTTTTAGAAATTGCATGTTTTTTTACCTATGCTGATAGCCCTGAGAGGCTATTTCAGCTTCTCCTTGACGTGTAGGTAAGCTCACGGGCCTCAAACCGGGTGTGTTGCTAACATTAGTAAGAAAGTACTTTGCAGAATCTACCACCGGATCGGAAACGCGACCCACTGACAAGATCCGGTGAGAAACGCAGTGGTCAGTGCCTATGGGTTAATTTACTCGTCGAGCCCTCGGCTCGGAGAGGACGGTGACCGGAATTGCATGTGATGAAAGATTTATGTACGAAGAAAAAGTTCAAGAAACAAAAGATTGTTGCCCATTTCCTCAAAATTAACAAATTGTATCATATCCCTCTTCATCCACTCATGTCATCAATTATCCCGCCGCCAGATTCTTATAACGCGTATTACATTCCTGTAAATCAACAGGGTTTTCTATTTATCAGTTCTAGTGTAGCGGTGAAAGCGGTTTAAAATTGCAATCGTTAGCTTTCGCTTCCGGCCGCTCGAGGGCGCTGTGTCATTACGAGATTATTGCTAATGGTAGGACAGATTTCACGCAATAGCTTTAATTGTTTTTATTTTTATTATTTAATGCAAGTGCATAATTTATAATTAAATTACAAATGCGCATTCCAAATTTGTTTAACAAACACACCGTAACCCTGACCGAGAGTCGAACCTGAATTCTATGGTGCATTAGTCATAAAGTCATCAAGTAATGTTCAATTGAATGCTAAAATAAGCTCTAGAAATATTTAAGAGTCTAATGCTTAAACGCTTTAATACCATCCATATGATAATAATAATTGCATAATTATCAATAAGTGGTAATAATAAAAATGTAAATACATATTCGAGTCTCTCCGTAATGACAGATGTTTACCTACTTTAACATAAATAATATTACTTTCGCGCTTCATCCGCCTAGAACGAGGTAAAAGCCTGTGCAATGCAAAAGGAGCATTGCAATGCACTTCCTAGAGCGGAAACCGAAAGTACTCCCGGAGAGAAAACCGCTAATCTTGAATGAAACGCATTAGAAATAAATGGATGCAACGGTTGTTAGCGCCATCTATTATAAATCAAGTCAAGTCAATCAAGCAAGCAGATTTCTAGCGAACCTTGCTGTAGCGTCATCTGTTGTAACAAAATAAAACTTCCTACCATAACACCATTACAGTAAACTGACATTTGAAAATAGCGCCATCTATTGTGAATTTTAAACACAAAGACGTTTATCAAAACTGCTTGTGCGATTACTAAACAGTTAGACTATTTGCCGATAGATGTCTCTTAAACTAAAATTAATAAAACGAACCTTTACCTCCACCAGCGTCGTGAGCTTGCGGTTTCCCGCTCGGCACTCGCTGCAACGGCGATGCACTTCCATAGTTCATACTCGTCCCCGTGTACTCTGAACTGACTGGTTCTTGCTTGATGCCGCTGGGCGTTGAAGATAATTTCTCCGCGAGCAACGGATTTTGCGACGCAATATTATATCTTCCATTGTTAATGTTATTATTAACGGCATTGTTAATGGCGTTGGTGCCCGATCTAAGGAGTTGCTGCAATCTTTGCTGCCCGTTGTTTTGTAAATGTAATTGACTTTGAGGGTAGTACCCTTGCAGTTGACTGCTGGACGCTGGCGACGATATGTTGTTGTTCTCTTCTTGCTGAAAAAAAATTAAGCATTTAGTTCCCAAATACAGAATCATAATCGAATTATCGATTGTTGCTTTTCACTCTTCTAAGAGTTGTCTCAATATAAATAAGATAACGTTGGCCAGAAAATATCTTTACAACCCGGAGTCGCGCTAAAAGCAGTTGACAAACGGTTAAGTGCAATCATTTCTTTACTTAAATAAGACAATAACAAAACATTTCCTTATAATATTCTGCTTATATGTAATAGATCACTGGCAAAGTTCGAATGCTAGTTGGAACGAAGTTCCTTATGGGACGATGCGGAGGGGTACACCCTAACCGGGAAAAAAAGTCCGTAACGTAAGATTTTTATTCTTTATGTATAGTCTTAGTATGATTGCTATACAGTGTCTAATGTATAGTCTACGTGATGACGGTTATTATTATTATTCATATAAATAGCTATTATTCATATATTATTATTATTATATATATTTTTATAAATCATTGTGAATAAAATAAAGTTGATAGCTTTGTGAAGTAGTTTTTTTTATCATTATCAATATCAATCATAATAAATAATGTATACCCGAATAATTATTTTCTTTATACCTCAAATAGAACTTAAAATCAATATTTTTATAATAAGATACTTCGTTCCTATCCGGTGTCCCACGACACCACACATCTTTTTTATTTTTATTTTTTATTTTTGAGGGAGTTTTATGGAACTGACCTTTATCTCGATAGGTGGTGCGCCCGAAGCGGTGGCGTTAGTGAGATCCGTGAAAAACGTATCGAAGTTGTCGAACGCGGTTTCCCCGAGCTGCTTCAGGATGTCGTCGGGGTCTGCCGCTTCAGAGCTCTCCGGCTCCAGGGTGAGGCCGCCCACGATGTTGGACAGCTCGGCCTGCGACAGCTCGCCTAGTGACGAGGCCATCTGCTGAAGCTGGGCGGCCGCCTGACCGCCGGCAGCCACTACCGCGTCCTGAAACTGTCCCTGTTCTTCAATAAACGATTTTGTTTACGATATTTTAGTGCACTCTGTCATTTTTTTTATTGTTTAGATGGGTGGACGAGCTTACAGTCCACCTGGTGTTAAGTGGTTACTGGAGCCCATAGGTATCATCGACGTAAATGCGCCACCCACCTTGAGATATAAGTTATAAGGTTTCACTATAGTTACAACGGCTGCTCTGAGCTTCAAACCGAAACGCATTACTGCTTCACGGCAGAAATAGGCAGGGCGGTGGTACCTACCCGCGCGGACTCACAAGAGGTCCTACCCCCAGTAAGATTAAATTAAGTAATGAATTTGATTACGCGACGGCGTTCCTATAAGCGCAACGTTAGTCAAATCGAGCTTATGTTATTATGGAGGGTTATGGCCCAGCTCGCCAGCTCATCTTCACTAGTATAAAGTAAGAGAACTATTATTACCTGAAGGCAATTTGAGAGATCGACCATTCTGCCCTCATTCTCGGCGGACCACCACTCGTCTTCAATAAATGGCATCGCCAGCGCCGATCCCGACGGCGCATGTGTCCCCGCCACGTTGTCACAACTACTTGACGCCAGATGGCGCTGTTCAATATGACACTCACTGCACTAACACCCGAGTTCTACACAAAGACTAAGGTCTTACTATTCTATTTAACGTAAATTCGTTTAAAATGTTTGGCAGCGTCTTGGACGGAACGTGCATTATTCGTTGTATTAATTACGCGAAGTGAAGGTACTTAGTTACGAGGAACACATAATGGTTTTTGTAGTTTGGCCGCTTGTTGTTGAACACGTTGATTGGTGTAGATGACACTCCCCCGGCCAGGTTACCTCACCCCTCGTACTCCGATCCTCTTCAGCAGCGACCTGCGAAAATCGAAAGCGTAGGCTCTCACGTCCAATAACACAAGGTACATACATAAAGCTCACATTTCATTTCAAGGACTCAAGCGTATGGTATACAGCTAAAACTAATCGGTTACGGCAGTAGTTTAAATTCGATAAATGTATTATGGAAGCACTCATTAAACCGATCAAGTGCATTAGTAAATAAGTATTTATAATATATTATTTTAATAAATTTTATATCTCTGAAGCAGTTAGTCAAGCGTGTTTCAAGGATTATGGTTCCAACCACCAGCGTATTTTTGGATTGTAAAGGTTACTTTATGAGAATGGCGACAATGCGCCGAGTTCACCTGGCGACGTCCCGGTGTATGTCGAACCTTCGTCGACACAGCATAGAGGCGCTACGCACCGCACGCCGCGCACACAATGCTCTGCAAACAAAGAGAAATTTGTTAAAACAGTGTACAGTGACATCTAACGGAAATTTGCATCATTACACGCTATTATAAAAACAATAAACTTGTTATTTTACCCAAATAAACGTTCTTATGGAATATTTAAATAAACATATCGGTAACTGTACATAATATGTCATTTTTCCGTAAGAGCTCACCCAAGACAATGCGACGCTAATACACCGCCATCTATGATCGAATAGAAAACAACACGGTACTTCATTAGTGATGAGCCGATTTTTAATTTAACATAATTGACTATTATGCGTAGAAGCGGGCTCAACGACCTCGTACAAAAACTTTGCCTGCGTAATAATGTAAAACAATACAAAGCGGCGTTCACAATGCACGGAAGATCGCAACGCAAAGAAAGGTGGGCTGTATTCGTTCGCAAAAACACGAACAATGCTCTTTCACTGTAATTACGAGTGTGATACGTTAAAAAATCATAACTTTTGTTTTTTTGTTTTCTAAAACGTTTCCTAGTGCACTTTCTTCTGTCTGTTGCGTGTGTCGTCGTTGCGGCGTCGGTTCGAAGCGAGCGAACGCGCTGCGTGCTTGATGGCCGAGTTATGCACGCAACCAACTTTATGTCATCATTATAGCAAAAAAAATATAAATTTAATTAAACCAAATTAAATTACCAATGTATTTGACACGTATCTTTAATTTTCACACAGTCATTTTCCCGAGAATAAACGATTTAGCATTTATACGATGCTCATGACAATACAATGATTAGGTAATTGAAATTCTTAGCAATAATTAAAAGTTAGGCGGCAAGATCGTATTAGAAATATTTAGTTGATTGTATGCGTTCGTGGGCATATTATTATTGGGTATGTGAATTCTAAGGTCTATGCAAATTCTCACCACAATTGTTCTTTATGCCAATATTAAATTTATTATAGTTTAGCTTTCGTTCATTATAGTATTTAATTTATTAAGTTTAGCTCCAAAAATACATAGTTTCCGGTAGTTGTTATTTTCTATTGAAATTTAAATTATATGATAGAATTTTTGCTTTAACTAAGTTATTATTAGAATTGTATCTTAGTAAAAATATAATTTAATTAGCATTAAAAATATCATAACAATGTCGTGGAATTCTAATGGTAAAATTAACAAATATTTTGAGATTCACTCAAAATAAACGAGTTGCACTTTTCTTCTCTCTCTCTCTTCTTCAACCCTTCTACCCAATACTGAGTGTGGGTCTTTTCGAATGGACCCCATTCTCTTCGGTCTCTTGCCTTTCGCATCCAGCCCCACCAGCCAAATTGACCAGGTCATCGGTCCAGCTCGTTGGTTGTCTACCCACGTTACGACGTCCAATACGAGGTCTCCACTCCAGTACTTTTGTGCCCCATCGATTGTCATCATCATATATAGCTTATAAACAGGTCTTGAGGTCTTGCACGAGATACGATATGATGGCATACAATACAAAAAAACATTTTTAATTTTTTAATCTCAATACGCTAAAACAGTTTCATTCTTTGCTTGTGTAACATTTTTAATCTTCAACGAAATTCAAAAGACCCATACAATATATATTTGACGTAAATAGTTCTAATTTAGATGAACGATACTGCTCATTAAACGAACTCGCATCTTTCTGTTTCTCAGTTTGTGACATTTGATCGCAGTCGTGAATTCTGGCTGTACATTTATCATTACCGTGGGCTTCAATGTACTTAGTTATATTCTATGAGTTTCAACTAGAGTTCAATATGAGGGGGACTTTATAATCGTTCTTTTCACCTGTACTAAGAAAACATTGAACGAGTTGAAAATTTATTACAGCGCCATCTATTAGTGCACTGTGATTCTCTTTTGTATTTTCTTTTTCTTTTTCTGCTGTCTTTCAAAAATGCATTTAAATTCAATGCCATTCAGTCAAAAACGCAATCGCGTCAACTTTTAATATTACTTTTGGCCGTTGAGATATTAATTACACAGCCTTGGATTATTTACTTCCTATTACAAATGGCTAGAGAAACTTCAAGTTTTGTTGACGAACGAACATACACGAACTCGTTTCAATATTTAACTGATCCCCAATCAGGCATTTTGCTCTACTAAAAAAACAAATGTAATAATTCTCGCAGAAAAGGTTTTTTAATTGATTTAATCTAAAATATGTAAAATATTTTCTAGAAATCATGGTGCATAAGGAAGGACCTTCAATAATACGGTCTATTACTAAGTATTGCGTCGGAAAATTATACACGCAACTCAGTATTACATTTAATCGTTGTTTCTTTCGATGACTTCCGTAAAGTAATTGTACCGGAAAAATCCATCACATCTTTTGTACATTTTTTAAATTATTTATGGTCACTGTTCTAAATTTTATTTAATTTTAATCTAGCAAAAGAGAACTACAACTCGAGTTTTAGTGAATGTCATTTTGACAGTTATTTCAATTTCTGACTAGTATAATCTGTAAAAGCATGTGTAATTTTTCACAAATTATATAAAACAGACAAGGCTGTATGGGCTTAGATCCCCTTGCCTTTCCTAATAAGGAAAAATTGTACCAAAAAAAAGAAATTTAACCTGTATTCTTTGTTATTGTTTTGGTTCTGAAAATAAGGTTAATTCAACACTTCATAACATTTCGTTTTATAGAAGAAACATGTCCGAAAGACATAATTCGGAGTCTTCAACATCTGAAACTGAGATGACTGCTGGCAGCTCTACAAATTTAAAGTCAAAAAAAGTGTTACATTCTAACAAAAAAACAGTTTTAACTGAAAATCAACATCGTACAATGAAACAGTATTCCGAAGGTAAAGAAATTAAAAGTTTTGACAGTAAAATTAACGTGGAACGGCATAGAGCAAGAGATTCAGAAGGTAAATTTTTAGGTTATATTTTTAATATTTTGTTTTTCGTAAATAATATGTTTCTAAAAGTAAAGTATACGGAATATATATACCTGTTATTTTTATTGACATTGTTTCTATGAATGTAATTTTAATGAAATGAAAATGAAAATAAAAATGCCTCTTTTTGAAATGGGTCTATTCTATCTATCTAATTTATCTAATCCATTATTTATTTATGCGGTTTGATTAAATTGTTTTTTAAACTTTACTGCTATTATTTTTAAATACTAGTATATTATACTAGTATACGAGTATATTAACTAACAAAATTTATAGTTTCCATTATAAGCTGCATTTCAGCTATTAGTCCACGAACCGTAACTTATGCTGCATAGTACTAATACATTACTATAGTGAGCCAACCAATTGTTTTAGAAGAAATTTCTGAGATTGATGACAAAAACTCAGATCTGTCAACGACTGAATCAGAAGTTAGTGCCTGCAGTTCCAACTTCAACCCAATAAAGGCATTGTATTCCAAAAAGAGTAAAATACCAGTGGAAGATGCACCAGTGTTTGAGAATCTAGAACAGTTAATGTCTTCGTTCAAGAACGATTCAGTATTACCCGTTGGGTATGGAAGTATTGTTAAAGAGAGGGAAGAAAAAAAACTCAAGCTAAAACTGGAAGAAGAAAAACTGTTGGAAGAGAAAAATCGGGCTCGTTTTGCACAGTACAGAGGTATTTCGATAATTAATTTAAATCGGCTAATTTTTTTGACTCAACAGCAGCGGCATTGACCATTTCACTAAAACTTGGTTCAAACTCTTCTTGTTTATGGTAGTGATGGTTTTCTGAATATTTAATTATTGATGAAATGTCACCGTGACCTTCACACGAGAAGTTCAGTTTAATGAGATTCTTTTTCTCTCTTGATTTATGTAACCACAAAATTTTATGTTTTTTCTATTTTGGCTTTCTAACTTGGCCATATCTAAGACCTATGTCATGTTACATCTCTCTCTGATATTTCTGCCCTTGTTGTATGGAGCCTCAGAGGATATTTTCCTTCTCAGGAAAATCCTTAATATAGTGAAGAGTGTGAATCCTTAATGATGTTATTATGCCTGTCATGTTAATATGTGTTGCTTCTCTGGCTGTCATTGTATTTGAGTTAGAGCATTTTATAATTGAGTTTTGTATTTTCTTCAACTGCCCCAATATAGTATCCCCTCTTTATGATATCCTTCCAAAGGCATCACCAGGCCTATTAATTCTCTCTTAACTTTAGTCTATTCTAAACATGTAAATATTCATGTAAATTTTTATATGCTGATAGTATATGTATTTAAAGAAGTTAGTTTAACATTGTGCTGTTCTTAAAATCACAGAATTGCATATGGAAAAACTGATAAAACTCATTTGTATTTAGTATTTTTTTCTCTAAGCACCTGTCATTTTTGTGCATGGCAAAATCAATGCCAAAGGCGTTGGAGCAAAATTGCTTTATAAAAAAAAAATTGAATTTACAAGTTGTTGGTTTTAACACAATTAAGAGTACTAACAGTAATTTGCTTATTGGTCCTTTTATTTATGTAAAAACTGTAAAGTATATACATAATATGTTTCAATGGAGCATTTATTTCAAATTGATCACGTATATGATCGGAATGACCAGAAATAGCTTTTAATTGATTTAGAGATCATGTGTAAAAAAAAGTAAATGGACAAATGCTCTCACGCCCACCTGGCATCAAGCAGCTCCGGGCTCATCGCAATTTTCAATGCCACCGGGCAGCATACGCATGCTGATATAGAATAGAAGTGTTCCTTATATTTTGGGAAGGCTAGTCCGCCCTTCAAACTGGCAGAAATAGACAAGATTGTGGTGTCGCACCCTATGCCCCCACCCTCAGAAAAATGATTTCGGTTTTAATCCAATACAAGTTTATTTCATAATCACCCAAAACTTAAATTTAAGTGCCGTTCCGCCCTTTGCGCATTTATTAAACACATAAAACTATAGGTATATTTATTGCGAACTAATGGTCCCGCAGTCATTGAAATTAGACTATAATTAACTTATTAAAATTATAAGTTAAAACATTATTATGGATCTATTGTCAAACACTAATAAACTTGTAAAATCATAGATTTTGCCAAAACTACCTACACTATAGATAAATAATATTAAAGACAAATAATATTAGTATATTCTCAATTTAACCCCAGACTATAAAACAATAACACAAGTTTACTGATTGACAATAAACCACCAATAAACAAAGAGTATATTTATGTGTGTGTTGTGTCAAATACACGGTAGTGTGTGTAATGTTTTTTTTATTGATTTAATGTATTTTTGATGAATAATTAAAAAAAAAATTAGCATTCTGCACTGCTTCTCTATATTCTCTACTAGCGACCCGCCCTCGCTTCGCTTCGGAAACATTAAAACACACATGAAACAAAAAAAAAAATAAAAAAAAAATTATAAAAAAGTAGCCTATGTTCATCAGGGACAATGTCGGCTTCTAAAGGAAAAAGAATTTTTCAAATCGGTCCAGTAGTTTCGGAGCCTATTCGAAACAAACAAACAAACAAATCTTTCCTCTTTATAATATTATTAGTAAGTATAGATATAGATTAGTATAGATATAGATTAGTATAGATAAGTGTGGGAAATTTCATATTCCCCCGTTCGCGCAATTTTCGTAAAAAGGGATACAAAGTTTTTGTTTCATGTATTAATAATATTGCGAATAGTGTCTTGTTGTTTAGAAGTTTTGTGAGGTGTCGCCGAGTGTTGAAGTCAGGTTAGGTCACGCACACCGAGGTCAGTCTAGGCCGAGCGTTGAACGCTCGGCTCTGTGTCAACTAAGATTGTTGAACTCTCCCGGCTCTCCGTCAGCCCCACGCCTCAATCCACCTCACATATTCACTGAGTCACCTTGTAAATACGCTTTAAAGCATTGATTTCTTGACAACTTACTTAGATTGTTTTTTACACGCTTTATATTAGCTTACCTTGTATGTATGTTTGTATGTTTGTAACTGACTCCTTTAGACGCGATTTTGACCCACTTGAAACGGCCAGATTTCATTCAAACTTTGTAGATTTATCGAGGACCGATGACAATACACTAATTTTTAAAGTTTCGTACACTTGTTGTGCACGATATCTCGTGAAATGGACAGGGGCAACCGCAGTCTGGTTGCTATGGATTCCACGGGGGATCAATCTTAGATAAGTTAATAAACTCATTTTATTATAATCATCGGTCGTTTTTGATCGCCAAATTTATGGAATACTTATTCGAAATAACGAAAATATTGCGTGCAAAGGTAATATCGCGTTGATTTTCATTAATTAGTCATCATCATTCTCTTATCCTTCTCCCAGACATTTGGGGTCAGCGTAACACGTTTTCTCCTTCCATATATCATATACCATTTCTTCGCTCACTCTCCTCTTACACATATCGTCTTTCACGCAATCCATCCATATCTTCTCAGGTCCTTGTCTTCTTCTATTCTCATTAATCAATACATTATTTAAACTCTTCGATAAGTCATACAAACAATAAATTACATAATGAAAATTTATACCGTGCCTGATTTAAAATTATTTCATCAACAATAGCATCAGTTGATTTGCATGCCGCCCGTGACCTGGTAGCCAGGAGGTCTCGCTTGTGTAATCAACTCGTAATGCCTTGTTATTTTATAAAACTATTATAATTGTGTGCCGATATTTCATTAAACTGAAGAATTTAGCTTACGCGAAATGGCGCGTTAGCAACGCAACACGTTCGCTGACAGGTCAACGGTGAGCACTCGTGAACACACTCCAAGCATAAGTTTAAAGTAACCTTTGCTTTGTAGTGAGATGAGTGTTGAGTCTCTATATCGGGCAAGGATTATGAAGACACGTGTTTAGTTAAGTGACTAACGTATATTGGGATTACAACCTCACGTGCTATCGACAGCCCGACAATCCCGAGGCTGACGTATCATCACTGCAATATAGCAATATATGCAATATAGGCTCAAAGCGGAAAAATTAATTAAAATATGAGTATTCTCTAAAATGATCGTGAATATAACTTTAAATTTAAATTTAGACCTTTTGAAAATGTTACAACGCGACGCTGCGAACATTAATATGCCAATAAGAAACCTAATCGCAAAATAATTAAACTTAATTTACGATAAAAATTAAATTTATAATTACGGCACAAATTATATTTGTTTAATGAAAACGTTAAATAGCTACACGCAATCGCGTGACATTTAATATAAAGACGACACTATACTATTTAACGTCTAATTCACGACATTGGCCATTCAAACTGGTATCGATTTTTAAAAAAACATGAAAGTGTTCAATTTGAAAAAAAAAGACACCAACATGCTTAATCTATTTATTGTCGATGTTTGCCTTTGAAATGCATTTTCTCTCATTCCCGATCCTGCGGAAAGAATGGAAAGCAGTCGACGTCGCCCAAAACACGTCATTTCGGATCCTCCCGATCCACTAACGGTGCTTCTAGGTACTTCAAGCACCGGTCACCGTTCTCGTCGAACCCGTCGCTTGCGACTAAGGGCTCGACGAGCAAATTAACCCTCAGATACAGCCCACTGAGTTTCTCGCCCGATCTTCTCAGTGGGTTGCGTTTACGACCCGGTGGTAGATTCTGCGAAGCACTGCTCTTGCTAGGGCTAGTGCTAGCAATGCCCCCAGGTTAGAGCCCAGAGAGCTCACCTACACGTTAGGTTACGCTGGCATAGCCTCTTTGAAGGGCGGGGCAGCCGTTGTAACTATACTGAGATCTTAAAACTTATATCTCAAGGTGGGTGGCGTATTTACGTTTTGCATGTCTATAGGCTCCAGTAACAACTTAACAACAGATGGGCTGTGAGCTCGTCCACCCAATAAGCAGGAAAAAAAATATTAAAAAATCCGTAGGCTGTGTCTATGGGTTAATCTAGTGTAGTACTTAAGATTCAGCACTACTGAAGGGTCATAGAGAAACTGGTACACCTCTACCGAACTATGATCACTAGCTACATAAGAATGCTCGTTAAGTTTGTACAAGCATTACAATGTAAAGTTCCGATTGTAAATAGTATAATTACGTCCATATTGTTTTGCAATTGAAAACAATTGCTCGCTTGCATCTAATGGGTTTATCTTAGAAAGTGACTGTAATATCGCGTCGGTTTTATTGAAAGTAGATGTTTAGAAGCATTGGGTTGCATTGGAAAGTTACAGCGAAACGTTTCATATTCAATTCGATAATATTCATATTAGTCAATTCGAAGCCAATTTATAAAGTTTTATATTCAAATGCAAATATGGTTAAGAAATCATTTTTGTTGACACGGTTTTTTATAATTATGAAATAATACAAAATTAAAAGTTACGTGTTAAAGGCGATAAAATTACTGATCTAATGAATAAAATTGAAATATACATAAGAATTTAATATATGGACAAAAATAAGTATCTTAGGTTGGAAGGTACTAAGCGGTAATGGCAAGTTGAGAACTGACTTTTGATGAATTTTGGACTCAGATAAAACTGGTAAACTTGTGTATGAAAATATTTTAATCTCATCACTAAGTCGCATGACGTGTTAGAACCAATTTATCAGTGTATTGTGCATTTTAGTCCCCGGACTGACCATGGTCACTTCAAGTGAGTGAGTGCATAAATCAGCAAGTCATCTAGATAATTCAAACCCGTCGTTTGCAAACGTTGCTTTCGCGTGTGTACGTTGCATAACAGCTTTCCACGCTAGTGGTATCTTGTGGTTGTCTCGCTTGCACCGTACTATAGGTCGTTGACATACCGTGATTCTTGATGAGCAACCGTGAGAATTTCGCTTCAAGGGCCAAAATGCCTTTATATGCTATATGTACGATTACTTTGGGCATAAATAAGCAGTACCTTAGGACTAATTCATCTGGGCTTGACGCAAAAGTTTGAATATTTTGGGTTGTTTCTATCAATCTAAAGAAGAAAAACCCTTTCAAAATCGGTTTTTAGTTCTTGTGACGTTCTTATCGATAGCTTAATTGGTAAATTTTGCACTAATTTTTAAAAGATCCATGACCGATAACGCTTTTGCTGTATCTTGGCGTACGTAGTTTGAATATATTCGGTGATACCAACATTTGAGAAAAAAATATATACATACTAAATACAAACAAACTAGAATGCATATTTTATTAACTGAGTACTTCCGACTGACAGTGGTCTTATGAGAACGATAAAGGGTGTCATTAATACATCTCGACATCATGCCTTAAGGCAGGTGGCAGTACTCTGCCTATATGTCTATGGCATTTGGTTACTTCTTAAAACCAGGTGTGGCGTGAACTTGTTTACCCATGAACATGTCAAAAAGGTGATGAATAACTCTTTCAAAAACATTCAAATAAGCTGACAGTACAAAGTCGTTTCTGACTGTTAAACATCTGAATTGTCTCTGTATTTACCAATATCTATTTACGTCGTAATGATAAATAATAGTAACGATGTAATTGTTCAGGTCATTCTACTACCTCGCACATTATAAATTAAGACACAATTACATATCAAAGTATTTTTAGACTTGTCGTCATATACAATGCGATAACACGTAACGGACATTGCCTTACGTAATCGTATGATTGTGTTAAACGCATAAAACTAAAAACGGAACGTCATAGTCGTGAGCGCGTGGAACGGAACGCAAACGGAAGTGATGCAACGCGTTTCGGCGGGTCGACGGGCATCTGTGTAAACATGGCGGCGCGCGCGTTTTGCTGAATGGCGCGATGGCGGCGAGTCGTTTCCCGCGCTCGCCGGCCGACGACCCCGCCGGCGTCGGTCAGCGCCCGGGGATAGCGAGTGAAAGTAATTCGCGAACGCAACCGCTCGTGAGCCATGCCGCTCTGGTACTTCGCGATGCATTTGAAAGCGTTATACATAGTTAAGAATTGAGGTTTTTCTTAGGTACTTTGAGGTATATTTTGGATGCATTAAAGTATATAAAGCTATCTACCATTCAGACGAGCAGTTCACTTCTTGCAAAACGCTGATGGGAATTATGCGGCCTAAATTGATATATGAAACCGAAATCTCCTCTTGTGAGTCCGCGCGGCTAGGTACCACCACCCTGCCTATTTCTGCCGTGTAGCAGTAATGCGTTTTGGTTTGAAGGGTAGATGGAGCAACCGTTGTAACTATACCTGAGGGCTATGGGCTCCAGTAACCACTTAACACCAGGTGGGCTGTGAGCTCGTCCACCCATCTAAGCAATAAAAAAAATCTTAATTCCATAACGGAATAGTTAATGGAATGTAGATGCGTTGCTATAGGAATAGATAGGTATCGCAAAAACCAGGTCAATTCAACAGTTGATACCAAGTAATGACGCAAGTTTTAAAAACGCGACAGTATTGGTGCTCTTAGTATGCCAACTGTCGTTGTAGTTAGCGTGAAGCTGCCACACGATAGTGTGCTCTAGAACCGACAATTGCTGGAGGAATTCTCGAGTAAGGATTGTGGAGCGCGCGCCCCATCCAGATGGAGCAATGTATGTTGCAAAACGGTCGGCTGGAATCGGATAATCAGAATTTATGTCCAGCAATGAATTAATATTAATGAAGATCGACCGTGGTCCAACGTGCGTTTCTCTCAATGAATAGGATGCAGTTTCATTGGTCAATGCTATTTCGATGCCTCCAATGAACAACTACTCTAACTCAACATTTTGAAAATTTCATTTTTCACGCAAATCGCTTCACTATTTTAAAAGTATTAAAAATTCTTTATTGATGGGGTTCGAAGCAAGAGTAAATCAGCTAGTTACACAAGAAAAAAACCATAAATATATCTGCAGTAATAAAATTTTTATCAACTTTTTTCGTTTAAAAGCTCCTCCTGTAAACCTACGAATTTGGAGTTAGACTAGTGTTCATTGGAGGCATCGATTATCAGTTCTTCTGAAATTCACAAGTACGCAGTGCTTATAGATTCGTAGTTTTATAATTACGATTGCTTGCTCAAAACTTTCTTGGTGTTTCGGATAACAACATGCAAAATTAAATAGGTCGATAAGTGTACCTATATACTTGAATTCGAAGGTATATAAGTATATATACTTGAATTCGAAGATATCGGAACGAGTATGTGATTAACCTCAATTGAACTAAAAATATCATAGCACTTGAGTTTTTTGCACATTTCATCTGAAATCACTGTTCCAACTTAACGTTTTAGAAACATGTGCATTAATTACTAAATAATCTTAAAGATAACTTTTTTGTTTCTCTATGCATGCTAATAATACTCACACCGCATTTGCCTGGACCAATTTGGATGCGGCTTTCAGTAACGTACAGATAAGATCTAATATAAAATTAGTGTCTGATTGAACTGAATAGATGTCTAGATAATGACCTGACCTGTCACCTAGCTAATCTGAATAAGATATAATATGTGAATGGATCAAAATTCACGACTTACGCAAAATTCTTACACATCGGGAAAATTTAGCATACAGCGGAGCGTTTCAAAACTCCAAGAAAATATCATAAAAGAAGTTGTATACTCAAATTTAGAATTACCAAAAAACGAACTAGTGTTGAGATGAATTAAATAAATAAATAATATTTACTAACAATCACGCCACGTTTACTGGTCCCGTGATAAGTTCGTAAAGAACTTGTGTTACAGGTACCAGATAACGGATATAAATGTAAGATTTTTATTATACACATACATATATTTAATATACATCCATAACCCTGGAAAAGACATTTATGTTTATCATACAAATATCTTCCCTTGGCGGGATTCGAACCCGCGACCCCCTTGTGTAGTGACCATGTCACTTACCACTACACCAGACGGCCATTAGAAATGTTCAAAAAAAGCGAATAGTACGAATCGATATGTTTGTCTATGGTTCATGGGAGTCAACGCCCGCCGCCCCGTACAACGCTCTTGCACCTGTTAAAATACGCTTACGTCAGAATTTTTGTAATTTCTAATAACACATTTATTGTAATTTTTAAAATGTGTAAAACACATTTATTGTAATTTCTAATAAACAAACAGATGATGTTTTCTTTTATTTATAATTATAGCTTTTAATTTTATTTCACTGATATCGGACGGACGTAAATTTAGTGATGAAAATACTATTAATGAACTATCGATAGCGATCACGATTACGAATAATAAAAAAAAATCATAGTTCTATTCATAACAGAACATAATATTTCTTACCGTAAGTAAGTTTAATAATCGTTTAAATTAATTTTTCAATCGTTATTCAAAATTCGGGTATCAATTGGCTGATTCTTTAAACACACTCTCATTCGCTAGATAATCAACGATTACGATTTTGTGGTCAAATATCGATAATCATTATAAATATCACTAACAAAAATGAGGTTATTAAAGGTCAAAACTTTACATGTTAATACATGTAAAAATATCTCAACATACTGAAAATTTAAGAAAATCCTACGGCCCACTCTTGTTAGTCTTTAATCGCAAGTAGGTATTGGATGACCGGAAATAACAATGTTAATAAGTTTGGTTATTTTCGGCAAACGGTTAGAACCCAAGAGATGGCACTGTGATCGCCAGCCCCCACTATAGCGGTATCTATGAATAGGAGATAACCCGAATCCTCAAATTATCTAACCGACATGCCTTGAACGTATATATATACCGACGGTATATTCAGCATAGAGTGACGCTTGCTGGAAAAAGATACATCAACCATAATCGGGTAGAGGACAAAATTGCAGACCAGTGACTAAAGCTTTTAAATAATCTATATATTAATACGTGAAGCAAAAAGTTTGCACCCCTTTTGACGAAAATTACACGGTCGGAGGAGTATGAATTTCCCACACATATAGAGAATATAGAGAAGAAGTGCATAATGCTAATTATTTTTTAATTATACATAAAACACATGTGGATGTCTATGGGCTCCAGTAGCCACTTAACACCAGGTGGGCTGTGAACTCGTCCACCCATCTAAGCAATAAAAAAAAAAGGAGTAAATTACGCTACTTTGTTAGACTAGCTTCGCTCCGCCGCGTCACCCGCAGTTATTGTCGTACCTCGCGCAACATGGCGGGATTCGCCTATCAATAATAAAATTTAATGTTTCCGAAGCGAAGCGAGAGCAGGTCGCTAGTATTAGAAATAAGTCTTTATTTACGTAGAAATATCTTGTTGTTGACAAAAAATTTTCTAAAAAGTTTATCTTTTCAGATTTAATGCCAACCAAAAAAATAAGACGAAAGAAAAACGTGTTGACTAAAATGGAAAATGTCAAAGGTCCGTTGGGCGCCTTGAAAGAATGCGTCGATGGAAGACTCAGGATAAAGGTTTGTGCATACTTTTAATTTCCTGATTTATCCTAACTACCTAAAAGTTGTTTAATACGAAATTATTTTAACAGGGCTTGATCGCCCCCCATTTGATTTGGGTATCTCGGCATTAATAATAATAATAATAATAATAAGTAGAGAGTATTTCGGATCGCATAGCCGTATGGAGGACCAATTAGCTTCCGTGGCCTGGTTACGACTCAGTAACCTCTTTGGGGAAACTGAAGGTTTTATTAACAATCTTAAGAAACTTTCAACATCTTAAGAAACTTTCGTTATCCAGCTGGGTTAAGGGCCTAATACAGAAAGCAGTTATCCTCGATACTGCACGCATTGTGAGGAGATTTCTCACTCTGGAGTCCTAAACACTGGTGGCTTGTGTCGTATACACCGCCATCAGCGGCAATCTATTTTTATATAGTGTTCTTTAAAAATTGTATTTTTAATATCTTTTTTAAAAAATATTATGTTATTAATAAGATTTTAAATAAATATAAATAATAATAATAAAGTAGAAATATATTACTTTCTGTAAAAGCTATTGTCGGGCGACGAGAATAGTTGCGTTTCAGAAGCTCCGTGTTTAGATTCGGGTTTCATAACTTTTGGTCGTATAATGCGTTTGCTTTTGTGCAGCGTTTGGCAACGGTCCAACGCGGAAACTCTAAGTTTCGTGTTGGTGGTGCAACGGGAGCAGATAAACAATTAATCAAATTAAATTTTACGATTTTTTTTAAATTCTTTACTATGTTTTTTATTGCTTAGATGGTTGGACGAGCTCACAACCCACCTGGTGTTAAGTGGTTACTGGAGCCCATAGACATCTACAACGTAAATGTGCCACCCATATAGTTACAACGGCTGCCCCGCCCTTCAAACCGAAACGCATTACTGCTTCATGGCAGAAATAGGCAGGGGACGGTGGTACCTACCCGCGCGGACTCACAAGAGGTCCTACCACCAGTACTATGTGCTGAATGTTGTAAAAATCATAAGATAAGGTAAAGCTATTAGTGGATTCGATACTAAACTCGGCATATCCTTCATAATTGAGTTCACATTAAAGCACGAAATTTAGCATTTAGATATAAAATAGAAGGATTTTATAAGTACAAAGTCAATAAGGTCGGCAGCCGAGGAGTAAATCTTGGAAAAACATACTTCCGAAATAAGTGCAAGCTAATGCATGTCGTATTATATTGCACGGTCTATTTAAATAATTGTTTTTTTCTTACATTCCATGAAAAATGCTACGAAGCGTAATGAGATGAATGATTGATTAATTTAAGACTAATCAATTGGGATAAAATTAAATGAAATGAGACTAGTTTATTTACTGAGACTTTTTCAGTGAACTTTTTGGAAGATCCCGAGAAGCGGCTTTGTTTCATTTTCCCACATTGTACACTTTCACAAATGCTTAACTGTTAATAAACCACTTTTATTAAACATGTAAAACATGATTCCAGTCTTCTCGTGCAGCTAATGATACTCTCCAGTCGTCTACCATTAGATTAGTAACCTCATCTTACTTTCCTACTAATTTTCTGTAATTGTTTTAAAACCGCCGAGGTTGTAAGCCAACCTGCTAATGGTACGTTCTTGTTGGAAGGTTGGGTAATCCCGGTTGAATCGGGCTGTCAAAAACGATCCTTTGACCTTTTGGTGTACTTATTAATGTATTGTCGTTTTATTTTTGATACCACTGTAGAAAATCCGCAGTGCCATTAAGATTAATGATATATTAATAATTTATATATATAAAAATTAATTGCCGTTCGTTAGTCTCGCTAAAACTCGAAAACGGCTGGACCGATTTGGATAACTTTGGTCTTGAATTATTTGTGGAAGTCCAGAGAAGGTTTATAAGGTAGATAAATATGAAAATGCTCGGAATTAAGTAAAAATAACAATTTTGTTTTCCTTTAATGTGTCCCCCGTTAGACGGATTCCTTTTGTTTGTTTTAAGTTTATTTTATACAGAAGCTTAGGTCTTTTATTTATCGATTTAGGCACTACAAAGTCTGCCGGGTCAGCTAGTATATTAATAATTTTCCATAGTTATTAGACGCTCTAGTTGTGCACGAAACTTAATATAGTCGACGCGTGACGCCACCTCGAGCCGAAATAGTACAGAAGGGCTCCCGTCTCTCGGACTGAGTAATGTAACTTCATAAACGTAGCTAAATCGTTCCTGTTTACTGGCTAGGAAGATTCCGTAGTTGTGAATGTTGAAGGTGACCTAATGATGAATTACAGGTCAGCCCTACCACTGTCTGTTTAAAGTCTTCAGTTGTTTCATCATAGGGTTGTGTTCAAAAAGTTTATCCAAACCACGTTTACTGCACGGAGCGTTGAAAAATGGCGTATGTGGTGGGTTCAAAAACATATGGAAAGTAAAGGAGTAAGATTTTTTTTAACTACCGTCATATCGGGAGTAAGAGCAAAGAGTTGAAGAAATTCACTACAATCGCTTAGGTTGTAACCTGGCTACCCTCAAATAAGTATCCCATTCCCCATATCAGAAGATGGATTATCAACCTATTACTTACAGTGCACTGTATCAAGCATTCGAATAGAAACTCTAATTAAGTGTTTGGTTAAATTAAAGTCAATTCATCTCTATTGTCTTCAACGTCGTACAAATTTAACTTGTAAAAAACAAGGGAAAGTTCTATTGTTAATTACATAGACAACGTTTCAATTAGAATCGTATTAAAATAAATACTTCAAGATCTATTATCACGGAAAACAGAGATAGTTCGCGCACCAAACACATCAGAAATAGTGGAGAAGTGGCAAGGAACTCTTTTCAAGTCACATTCGAAAGAGTATTTATGGTGCAGCCAAGAAACTCGAAACAAGAGGCTAAAAGAGTATTTATGGTGCAGCCAAGAAACTCGAAACAAGAGGCTAAAAGAGTATTTATGGTGCAGCCAAGAAACTCGAAACAAGAGGCTAAAAGAGTATTTATGGTGNGTTACCCACGAAATTTTAACACATATTTTGATAGTACATAAATTGGTGCCTAGACTTCTTACTTTAAACACTACACAAGCGTAACGTGTGAATGTGTTGAACGCGAGCTACATAGTAGGCGTAGTGAGGGGTGGAAGGTTTTTTTCGTTACGGAATTTCATGATTCCGCTCTAAAGCCGCGCTCAAGGCCCGCGATAAAATCTATGAAATAGTTTTAAAAAAAAAAAAAAAAAAAAAAAAAAAAAAAAAAAAAGAGTCAGTCGTACAGGAAGAGCCTTGCGGTCCTGTCTCGACGTAACGTAACATGCAAGTTTCTATTATTGGCATTGATCGCATGCAACTGTGTACGGACGGCAGTGCAATTTTTATTTTTGGCTATCAACAGAATGTTTTGTTCTGACGTGTGTGAAGAAACGTAAGAATAACGTCATAACATCAAACATTTTGTTTATTTATTTAACATTCCACAATCGAGGCCCTTAGCTTGAGAAATGTCTCTTGCATCGGAACTACACGAGACAAGAGCACTGACAGTCAGGCCACGAAAACCGAAAATCTCATACAAATTCGTGATTCGGGCTGGGAATCGAACCCGGAGCCCGTGGTATAGTAGTCAGGGTTACTAACCTCTCGACCAACATGGCGAATAAGTCATGTAATTTTGACATTTCCTTTTAAACATATAGATAAAGTAATGCTTAGATTATAGACAGAATTGTATTAAAAATATCTGTTAAATATTTCAATCTGAGCTGCCTGTAGATGCATACTTATTGGTGAGATGGCTGGCTACTGGCTTCAAAGGGAATCATTGAAGAGTCTTTAAGAATTATAACGGCGCACTTCGATCGCTTAGCCGAATTTTCTGGTTCTAGGGCGAATTTTCAGCCCGCTCCAGTCATGCATCTCCGTTTGAAGGTGAGACGGCCGTCATACAACAAAATTAAGACTTCGACTTCATTTATCTAGTGGCTCGCTTGTTTCACACCGGGATGTCTATGGGTTCCCATAACCACTTAGCATCAGATGTGAAGCGAGATCTAACTACTGTAATAATGTTTCGATAGTGACTGCGTCGGCTATTTTATAGCAATGAACAATATCTTCTTCTCGTTTGTACAACAAGAGGACATGCTTTTAATACACATGCATCGAGTGCGGGCACATGTTATGGGAATATTGGTGGCCCGGAGGCCTTTCCAGTTTCATCAGGACAGGTGGGCGAGCAAAGGCTCAGCCCGGAGCGGTGGGATTACTAACAGCTGCCCGAGCGCCTCCAAACGAGACCTAACAGCTCAAGAGCAGCTGCTTCGCGAATGAATCTACTACCGGATCGGAATCGCGATCCACTAAGAAGATCCGGCGATAAAGTCAGCGGGTTAAGTTGCACGTCGAACTCTCTCTTTTTGTCGAGTTCGACGAGTACAATTACCAGAGTCCCTAAGTCTGCTCCTAGTGTTAGAGCTGAAGGCGTCTAATGCGAGTGTTATTGAATGTACTGGATCCGTAAGGACGTGCGATATGTCCTTTTTTCACCCGCAAAAGCAATCATATGTTTCAATTGTAGGCCCGTGATGCATTTAAAATTTTGACTTCTTGTCTCAAGGGAGCTGCTTCCACACACACGTCTGTTCTACCACTGTAAAGAACATTCGATTCCTGTGCCAAAAATACCAATATGCTTTAACAAAAAAATAATAATTTAAAACTACCTACAATGTTTTAATAGAATGAATTTATTTTTATTAGAAAAAAATACACTTGAATACTATGAAGACTTTAATCAAATTTAAAAGTCGTAAAACCGAGAAAATATTTGTTTACGTTGTTCTCAAGGCGAGGTCTTTATAAATACTGTGTATAGTTGATAGAATAAAGTATAGAATCATTATAAATTTATTTGTTTCTTTGTTTTATTCTAACCAAATAAATTCAAGGTAGAGAGATGACCTGACCGGAGGTCGCAGTGACACACTAAATAAGTAAGCAAGGTAATCGCTAAGGAATCCGAAAGAGAT